AATGCCTTCAATCGTTTAACTATTTCTTGGCCGATATTTCCTAGGCCAAAGATGCCAACCGTAGAACCTCGTAAATCTCGTCCCAGCAGCCACTGTGGTCCCGTACTTCTCTCACAGCTTAATTATACGTCATTAATTGTATCATATATCTATTACTACACTATATACAGTTTTTGATTATACGTATATGTATAAGCAACCTGATAAAAGCTAGGCGATAAAAGCAGACTCAATATATAATTTTATTATAGACCATTTCGGCTAGATTTATACTTACATACATATCAATGCAATATAAACAGAATAAAAAATATATATATGGAAAATATTTATCAAACGTACCAGAAAGAGAACTGATATTCATTGAACAAGAACGCACTTTGATTACATCGATTATTTTTCTATCTAATGATCTAATCTTATCGGACTTTTCAAGCAAAGATTTTTATATTAATTAAATTGTAATCTAAAATGAGTTAAAACAGTTACTTTTCCAGCTTCTTACGACCCTCAAGGGCACGCCTCGCCGCGGATAACAACAAGAGCACTGCCATTTCCGCGACTGCAGCGGACAGCACCTTCGGTGCGTGCCCGGCTTTAATTCCTCTTTCTTTAATTAATGTAAGATCTAAGTGATCATATCCGGACGTCATTGTCGATATGACCTTTAAATTTTTCCCTGAAAAACGAAAGTCAAATTCGTTGATTTGCTTGATAAAATCTCGCAGTCACATTTTTTTACGCTTTAAAAGAAAAGCATTCGCATACCGTGTACTTTTTTTTAAACAGTTACAATCGATTCATCTCATTCTTCATCTTGTGCTTGAAAGTCTTGAAATAAAATCGCGTTCCAAGCCGATTTTATTAATTTTAACATTAAACAATTATAAATACTCTTTTTTTCTTGTACTTTTTGGCGCTTTATTCAAGATATAATAGGCATTTGTATAGAAAACACATCAATTAAGTTTCAAGATTTTTTAAAATATTTAAACAAACGTTGAAACAAGTTCTGCTTGAGAAAATTTGGACAGCTGCGTAATTATGGAATCGCTCAAGACAGGAAATGAAGAAGTTCTATCGAGAAAAGCAATAAAAATGGATCTTTATACCGGCGGCATCAAGAAACTCCTTGTCAACTTTAACATGGCTGGAGGAACATGGAGCGAGGAATACAGCATCGAAACTCTGCTCACGAAGAGCTGCCAATATTTTTTGTCGATATACATCTGCATTATAATTCTCTAGAATAGTGATCTCGCAGCTACATCAACAATAGTAAACGACAAGAGTAATCTGTATAATTTTCTTAAATATTCCAAATTTATTCAGACTTACTTGTTATCCTCAAGCAACTTGATGCCGGGCTGGGGCACGTCCTTGTGGTCCACCAAAACCTTCCATTGTTGAGCCGGTGAACTCATTGCGCTGTCTAAAATCAGGAAATTGAAAAATAATAATCGATTCATCAAAACACGTTTACAGATGCCACAGGCGCACTCACGTGATCTTTAAATATTTCTCCCGGCGATAAAAGTCCTCTATCAACTTAACTCAGTTTCAAGGATTCACCGTCGCACCGACTTTCAAACAGATTAGACAGACGTTTGTCTGATACAGCGATGTAGGCTTCCACCGACTGCGATTTTCACGTATACTACTTTCCAATATCTATCAAAACACTCGACGGAGTGATGTTGTGCGAGCTCGATTAGATATACCTACCAGTACAAATCGGTTTTATAGATATAACAATAAAACAAAGATAACGGACAAAACGTTCCATTCCATCAAGGATTGTCAAGGATATATATTGAATACATATTATATAAAATATTATACAATAAAAAACAATGCAAAAATTATTCTTTTAATTATTTTCTAATTCTTTTTCTTATTATTTTTCTTATATACATACAAAAAGAGATTATGCAAGAGAAAAAAACATAGTATAGACATATATGAACATATTTTATATAATACTAGCTTTTTCGCTCAAAAGCTCTTCCTTCTTTTCCCCGAATAGGAATATTTACTCCAAAATTTTTTTTTTTCAAAAAGGGAACTTTTTTTAGACAATTTTATAAGGGAGCCTTTTATCTCCGGGCTCAGACTCCTTCCCAAAAATCTCTACGGTCTAAGTTAGAGTATCATGAGATAATATACCAAATTTAGTTGTTCTAATTTGAAAACGGTGAGAGTAGAATAATATCACAAATTAAATTGATCATCAAATTCTAAACGGAACTGGTGCTAATAAACATTCTTTCCCAGGAGACCTTTTCCCCTCGCTTCGACCTCTTCCCAATACCCTCTACGGGCTAATTTATTAGATAGTAGACGATGTTTTTTCATTTAGTGGAATCTGGCAATGATCGGCTTGCCTCCTTCTACTTTCCCGAATTCGAATGGCGAAATTGCGTTAGTGAATCTAACGTCAAGAATTATCGCTCATCGCGAGAATTCTCCTTCAATCGCCGCCGTTCGAGATTCCTCGTTCACGCCGCGCCGCGTTCCGCCGCTCGCAAAATCGCGACTTCACTTCGTTGCTCGCGGAAATATAAAATAGCTGTACATCCATAGTGTAAAGAATTAGTGTATTGAAAACGAATTTTAAAACACAGACTCACGATCATTGTTAACAGTAAATTCGAGAACATATACCTACATATAACACTCTGACATCTTTTTCGATTTCTCTTTCCTCCTTCTGCTCGCGCACAGACACATCTATGACGGTTTTGATTTTCTGTCTTTCTTTATGTTTGACTAACTGAGTGAAAAACAAATCTTATTTAACGTTTAATAACAACTGCATCAAAGTTTTAAAATAATCTTCGTTTATTATTATTGACTTAAATATCAAACTGGGAAAAGTATTAAAGAGTGTGTAAATTGTTATTTTTTTACATTGTGTGTCTAAAAAAGTGTTTAAAAATATTCGATTCATAATGTGCAAATAGAGTCAATGGTTTCAATTATGATATTAGGTATAATAGCACTAATAAATTAAATTCATTTGATGCCATATAGAATGAAATATCTAGAATGAAATATTTTCAATGAAGAGATCCATCCCCCCTACTCTCACTCCATAAGCTCTCAGCTGACTAAAATTCAATGCTTTTATTGCTTTGCAGTATATAATAATTATACAGTATAATTGCACACAGGAAACAAAAACGCTTGTAGAGGCGGTAAGAAAGGCCGTAGTAGCCAATAAGCTTTGATTTTTGGTTTTCACGAAAAAAAGCACGCCGATTTGGCTATCACATTGACATATAGTGTGGACTATGCAATTCCTACATGAAAGCCTTCAAAAAGTGCCCGGTAGAATGAGACAAAGAGGGAACAAAGTAAAGGTCCTGGCTACTGGGTAAAAAAAGAGCTTGATCTCTTCCAGTCACTATCTCTTTTCTTCGACCGGTGTGTCATCGGTTATATTTTTCTATACCTGAGCGCAGTCCATACTATACGTCGATAGGCTACCACGTCGCTTCTCGCCGCGCGCCGCGCGGCAAGCGTTTACGCATTGTGTAAAGGCTCCATGCAGGAGTGCAGGAGCCAAGAGTCGAAAGAGTAGCGTCAGTAAGAGCACGTGGTGCTACGATGCCATATATGTAAGAAGATATTCGACAGACGTATGAATGAAAGTAAGTAGTGCACTTGTTACTGCGTTTACTTCTGAGAACATGTTTGAATGCACACTTATCGCATTGATAACACGTACTGTTTTAGAATGGAAAATAACAGCAATAAAAGCGGAAAACCGCGTGAAACTGTGACATTGATTCTCAAAGAGAAGCAATTTGTGGTTGAAAAGCAAAAATTGATGGACAAATGTCAGTATTTTGCTGCGCTTTTGTCCGCGAACTTTCTAGAATATGAACAGACAAAACACGTTATCAACTATGACATTTCCCCGATTTTGTTGCAAGTGAGCAGATTTTAATTCTTGTCTGTGTTCACAGGAAAGAACTCGCTTTTCGAGCATACAAGACGTTTTTTTTTATTTTTTGTGTAAAAGATTTGTTATACCCAAATTTTTCAAAAATGCATGTTTTTAATAGACAAATGTATATAGAAATTACACCGAGATTTATCGGCATATCATTTCATTATGAAATAAACACATAATAATTTTGTAGGATTTCATTGATTGGATTCATAATGACAAAATTACATTTACATCTGCAACAAGTTATGATTTTAAAGAGCTTGATCGTCTCTTGATTCTGTTGGAATTAAGCGTTCTATTTACGGCAGATAAATTAAAAGAAGATATAACCGACAAGCTAACCGAGAGACACTTTATGTCACCAAAATATGCAATTCAAATTTGGTTATTGGCACAAGAATTAAATATTAACGTGTTACGAGATCTTTCTTTGGCTCTTTGCTTAGATCGTTTCGATCAACTGCCATTCAATTCAATTTGTGAGT